AGCCCTCGCCTTGGCTGGCTGCTTGCGAGGGTCCTCACTCAGGGTCAGCAGGAGGTAGAGAATCGACCATTTGTTCTTCAAAACTCCCTGTTGAGAAAGAAAACCAGTGTTGAGAGGAGAATTTCACGAGCCCTAGTGCCGTTCTACTCTGGCTTAAACTATACTTATCTCCAAGAGAGAGCTGCAGCTAAGGCCCACGTGGGAATGCAGAATCGAGCCGGGCTCCATGAGAAGGCTGCGGGTGTGCCCAGGGGCGATGGACACCCGTGGATCCTGCAACGCCTATAAATTAACTCCAGAGTCGCTCACACCAACAGGTGTATGAAGGACCCTCCTCCAGCATAAGGGTGCTATTCCTCCTAAAATCGTTCCTGTAGCCCTTCGAACACGGTGGTGGGGGACAACCGCCATCCTAACACATATGGCCCTTCCTTTTGTTGACATCCCATCTAGACCACTCTACAAGCTGCAGCTAGCCTGGCACCCTGTTCCCAGCACCGAGGCCTGTCCCCACGGGCTGAGCTGTCAGGACAAGGGGTTTCCTGACAGAGCCCTCTGTGCACGACAGGCTCCCCCGTATGTCATAACAATCAGTGACACAGCAGTTTGACACAATCTGCCTAAACATGAACGTCCGAAACAGGACTCCTCCTCCTACTTCATAAACATTACTGAAAATGGAAAAACAAACTTTGGACAGTGAGTCCAAAAAAATCAAATCAAAATAAGGACTCAAAATGGTTGGTGACCAAACCGAGTCCACGTCAAAGGCACAGTGGGCAAACAGAGAGGGCACGTGGCTCCGCCGAGCACCAGGCCCCGCTCTAGCTCAGGGTCTGCTGGGCAAAGCAGCAACCTCTCGGGGCTCACACCCTTCTCTACAAAAGGGAGGCGAAAGCTGAATGGGTTAAGTTTAATATAGTCAGAAATCACAAAATCCCGCCCTACCATCCAATTAACGTATTGCTAGGCTGAAAAAGTGTTTCACAAAAATATTGGATGGGGAAAATTATTCATTTTCAGGCCAGCAGGTGGCATGGAGGTTAAAGCGGCTGGACCCTGCCTGACTGACTGCAAGGTTTGTGTCTCAATCCAAGCAGCTTGAAAACCATGCCAGACGTGTGCGCGTGCATGCCCTGAGTCCCAAGAAGAGCCTGTAGGAAAATGAACTGTGGCATGGTCATCCCCAGGGGGTGGGTGATTTCTTACTTTTCCTCTGTCTCTGTCTCTCTTTAGCTAGCACATGCACCCTGTAGCAAACTTTAAAAAGAGAAAAAGAAAAATCATTTTCCTTTTTTTTTTTAACAGTGATTTTTGCCATAGGGCACTTGTACTCACCAGAGAGATAAAAAGTGAGATATCACCCCCCCAGGAGGGATGGCCATGCTGCAATCATTCCTCCATCATACACTCAGGATTTTGGGCACACACACACACATGCCCAGTGTGGGTTCCAAGCTGCCAGATCTGGGACTCAAACCACAGTTAACCACGTGGAAGCCCAGCATCTTAACCACTGCACCATCGCTGGCCCCATCAGTCATTTTCAAGTAGCAGCAGCCAATCAGGATCCGTGTTTTGCATTGTCACTGCAACAGCACAAATCAGGGCCTCGTGGGTGGTGGCATGTGTCAGGTAGCCTCCTTGGACCGTGTATGCAGACAGGCCAAGACTCTCCCGACGTGCCTCCCTGCAGCAGCAGGACCGAGGCGGCTACAGGGCAGCCTTGCCCATTGGAGTGTGTCTGGCAGCAGCCGAGCTCATCTGGGTGCACACTCCAGCACCAGCTCAAACGTACCCCGCCCTGAAATTCCGAAAGGGCGCAAACACCGTCTAAATGAAACGCCATTACCGATGTGAGAGAGGGTGACTGTGATACCCCAACATCCTTTCGCAGTTGCCCTTCCGATCGCAGGGCCTCGCCCATGGGCCGAACGGCTCCCAGAACACACGTGCTGTACCTGTGAGTGCAGCTTTCTGTGGAGCTCCGAGAATAACGCAGCGTCTGCTTCTCTTCTCTGCCGGATAACTAGAAAGTGAGAAAAGGGCGGGCACCTCAATCACACGCACCGCGGTCACGCTTGTGCTGCTACTTCGCTTACAGTATCGGTCAGCTCTAAAGCGCTAAAAGAAAAATAAACTTGAAAGTCAAAAGAACTAAACAATGAAACATTTTACTACTACGATTTTGGTCAGCTCACTGCCATACGGAAAATATCAGATTAGGATCAAAGACTTTCTGTGAAAATCAGGTAGAGTGGCAGGGACAACGGGGTTTGGGACTCGATCTACCAATAGCAGTACACAGTGATTCACAGCACCCGGCAT